GTTGGAGCGGCAATGAACATTTACCTAATGGCAATCTTTGGCCCGTACCGCTTTCTGCGGAGATTACTCACACGGTCGGATTTAAAATTCCCTTTCAAGTGTCGTGGCAAGGGCATCCTAATGAGCCCCAGGACCTTTTCGCCGCGCCCGGTGTTCCCCTTTCGCCCTCGAGAAATGGCAAATTAACATATGCTTTTTGCGTGGCGCTGGCAGAAAGAAGATTTCTTATTCTATTAGCCGACAGCGCTGGCAATAATTTAATTGGACCATGCGCACTGCGTGTATCCACAAGATACGAAATGAAAATGAAAATGAAAAAAGGAGGGGCTGGCCGACCCAAAAGGCAGAGCGAGAGAGTCTAAAGCAATTTTTCTTCGTTTCACCTAGCGCCTAATGAGAATGTAGTGCCAGGACACCCGGCAAAGGACACTAAAAACGCATAAGCTATGAACTTTTTGAGTTCTGACTTTGGCCACGAATCACTGTTGTTTTTGTTGTTGTCCCCTGTTCCCGGCTTTGTTGTTGCTGCTGTACCGCTGTGTTAATTAAAAGGCGAAACTCATGACACAAACGGAATTTGCGGCCCTCGGGTGCTGCGAAATGAATTGTAGATATGTAGATGAACGAATCCTGGGCGAGTCCAGATAGCGTTGGTCGCATAATGTGCATGAATAATAATTTCCATTAAGATTGCCCTCCAAACCTGCGGTGCGACTGCAGGGTGGCATTATCCACCTCCCCCTACACGGTAAATAAGGGTACTTGAATTCTTTATTAAAAATCCATAATGTTGAACACAAAAAATAAATATTTGACAAACAAAAGACAAGACTTTTGGTATATCTATTACTTATTTCTTTTAAACCTATTTGTAGATTTTGTGGCTTTATTCCTTCCCCTTACTCTTTAGAGGACCCTTTTTACCTCTTCTAGTTTTTTTTTGCTGTGCAAACTTGAGAGGAAATGCGACAACTTGAAGTTAATTTGTGTAGCTGCTGGTGGAATCCTCTGAAGCTCTCTCAAGCACTATCGCCATTGTAAATTCCGTCTTTCACACCTGTTACACGCAATTATCTCAACCACGGGCTGAGAAGAAAGTTCGTGAGGACTGCACTTTGGGCCAGAAACGAGCCCTCTCCCTTCTCCACTATAGTTTCATTTCCGACCAAAGAAAAGGACGAGAGGCCAGGGGCCTGGGAGGGAAATGAGTTTCGGATTAAACCCCTTTCCTAGTCATCAGCCAGTCAAAGCGGAGTGTAAGTAGCTTGGGCTAAGTGCCACCAGCTACAGCTCCCCCGCCATCGGGAGGGCCGCCACCACCTACCGATGAGAGTGGAGCACGCACTGATTGCCAGTGAAATGCATGTGAAATTAACCTCGTGCGCTGCTCGGTTTAATTTGCACTCGATGGCTGGTGGCGGTGGGAAAAAAAGCTCCTTGCATGCCAATGGAGGCGACACCCCGGCGTCCCAAATGTAATTTTCCCTTTGCTCATTTGCTGCCTGACTGGCTGATGGGCTGATGGCTCACGACCAAGACATGACCCCCATTTCCTGACTGGCATCCACCCATACCCGCTCCTATCCAACCTTTGAACCACTCACTCATTCACTCAATTGGCCAAGCGTCAAGTTGCGTTACTGGAACGGAAAGTGTTGAGCAAGTTGTCAAAAGGTCTGCCATGGGTAATGTTGCAGCGAAAGGATCTGACTCTGACTGAGTAATAATTGAGTAAGAAATGTTTAAAAAGATTTTGAAGGAATGAGTCTTCTATTGGATTAGTTTATACAAATTTATTGTAAAAAAAATTATAAAATATATTGAATTCGAACCATTTTATTAATTTACTCAATCAAGCCCAAAAAGGTATGCTATACATTTTGAAAAAGGCAAAAACCATTAAAAGACTTTGATTTTTTAAGTTCTTTAAGCCAAATAAGGCATAGTATTAATTCTTTATACCTTTATCATGGATTTGATATGGATTTACCAGCACTCAATTACCACCGACAACCCATCTGCAAACATCGATAAGCCGCTTAACTGACAATACTTTTCTCACAAATTTATGCATCGCCTCTGTGTGGGCGCGGGGAGCGCACATAAAAGTATGGTTCGGTTATAATGAATGCTTAATAAGCATTTGTCGTATACATAAGCAATGTCCATTAAAATTGATTTCATTTGCTATGCAATTTACAATTCATCTTCGTTATAAAGCGCAGCCAGGCAGGGAATTTCGCGGCACTTATCCAAAACCCACATTCACACAAGAGCACCGCATAGCACCGCACCGACTCTACATAAACTATTCATTTCAGTTCAATAACAAAGCTGTTGCGAAGGCCCCAAGCTGGCCATATGTGTTCATTCCATTGAGTTATTCGCCGCATTAACGAAATCAACATTTAAATTGCAAATTGTGTGCATTTTGATTGAAAAATGCCGCGTTGACGACCCATCACAAAAAGGAACAAAAACTCTCGATGGATAGAGATGGAGAAATGCGGTACAACAATGGCTGATTTCGAATCAGATGGGCTTGTCGTACAGTGAGAGAAACGTCTGTGGTTCTCTGTCTTTAATTGATTATTTTATAAGATATATCTTAAGCCTCAAAATAAGTTGGCTGATTACTAACCCAGTTGATTTGGTGGTTAATGTTTTCTTCGACTTAATTTGGCTTACTGCATTGCCGGCTTGAACTCGCTGGCAGCTGCTGTCTTCACACATTCGCAGGCCTGCAATTTGCAACTCTTTTGTGGAATAAAAATAACACACAACTGCAACAATGCCAACAACGAAAATTTTATGCGCATTAACGTGCGACATTTGAGAAATGCGGCCTGGCCCTGGGTCTGTGCTGGTATGGGCTGGTCTGGGCTTGAGCTTGGTTTTCATTCGAATCATATACTTTTTTTTCTTTGGCCTCCGACTGAGTGCAATAAAAATGCAAAAACGAATTCGAATTGATTGAACAGAATTGAACGAAACACAGCCGGACAGGACACACGACAGGACTCGTATACGCACTTTTATACTTACACACTTACACAGTCACGCACGATGGTTAAAAAAAAAGGAAAAACAAAAACCCCAAGCAACAGGGAAAACGAGAAAATTATTCATTAACACATGCGTAAAATGCAAAAGGAACGGAACATTGCCATAAATAAATAATTGATAAATTGCAGATGAATTTTCATATTTAATGATGTTTAAGTGAGCGGGTGGATCAGGGATCGAAAAAATGTAGAGTGGACTTGGAGGGGAGTGGTGTGGTGTGGTGTCGAAAAAAAGCCGGAAAAATGCCAGTTTTGTTCGCATCTGGGCGTGCAATAATATTATGCTAAAATATACGATTACAATTCGGTTTCCTTTGCTTTTTTTACGACTCGAGCTCCGATGCCGCACAAGAGTGCGTATGAAAATTGATTGTTGCTTTATTTATGGCCTCGCACTCGCAAAGTAGACATAAAAAATTAAGACAAACATAAAATGCAATCATGCAGCCGAGTTTTTTTTGGCAAAAATCTACCAAATGGTATAGTAACCCTCTACGTTTTGTCCATTCGCCTGATTTGGTTTTACGTGCGTCGGGAGACATTGGGGGGCTGGGCTTGTCACCGAAAGGCCTCCCCGGGTCATGTAATAAAACGCATAAAACTTTGCCTCTAACGAGCGTGGTTTTACGATCCAACTGGCCCCCGTATCGAACTGGCGAAAAAAACGAGGAAATAGCAGCGGACATGGGAAACATTCAGTTCCCTTTCTGGTGACACCCGAAACGCTCATATGCAAACAAAATGCACGCCTAATGATTTGTTGTATGTTTTGGTTTTATACGGCCTTCTGGGCCACCCTTCTGGGAACCTGGCTTGAAGGGTTGAAACCGAGATGGCCAATTGATCATTTTAAAGATAATTGATGCCGCCAAACATAATTACATTTGGCATAATAGTAATTTATGGATGTCGAGGTATGTGGAGCAGTGAGTGCTCTAAATTAGAGGCATATGCTAACGACTCACTTTAATTCTACAAATATTCATTAAGTGCCTTAAATATTCCAAATATTTTAATGCTAATATCCTCACTTGACCTTTAGTATTTCATAATATTGTGCTCAAGCCACACTGTCCATGTCAAGAGAAGTTTAATTAAGTTTTGAATTTAATCAGAACCAAAGAAGCTCCATTGTGGCACTCAACTGAGATAATCTCCATCCATCTCCGACCGCTGCCGCTCCTTCCAAATGCCTCGAACGCCCGAATGCCCCGACCAGTCCTGTAAAATATGTAATTAAACTTAATGAGTGTAAAATGCTCGAGTCTTGGCCCGTTTCGGGGCTGCAGCCAGGAATCAAATGCTGTCAGGCAAATCAAGTCATTCATTTGTCAATTAGTTGACAATGGGCCGACTTGAGCTTAACTCGTCCTGCAGCTCAAAGCCAAAAAGCAGATCCGAACGCTTCAACGAATGCTGGACGTAATTGCATTTGAGATTTTATGAAGTCCAGCCAAGAATTAACTTGGCCCCAGGACTGCACCCCCAGCTCGGTCACAATTTGTAATTTCGTATCGCTGATGAAATGCATTTCATTAATATTTATTTGCCGTAGGAGTCTAAGTCTTGTCATAAAAGTGGGATTAGCAGACCAGATTGTTTACTGCCTCCAGCCGGTTATTGTCCCAAATAGCAAATGCATACTCGTATTTATTAAACCCCAAATCAAAGTAGAAAATCTCGGGATAAACATTTTGGATGTGTTTTTTTGTACGGAAATTAAAATAGTTGTTGCTTACCAATTTTTGTGGCAAACTTGAAAGTAACTTTTGGAAATAAAGCTGTTTGTGTTATACTTCATACAACATAATCTTTTTATAAGATTTACATTTTGAACTTTAGATTTCTTGAAATTTTTCATTCTTTAGTACTCATTTACTTATAAAGAAAAATAAATTCATATTTAAACTTTTCTTTGGAAAGAATTATTTTAAATTATGGCCGAAGAGGTGAAACCAACACCTGTAATTACACGGGAAATGGTTTTTATATTACCAAGCGTAAAAGCTGATCGAATAACGATGCCAGATGTCCAAGAATGTCTCTTGGAGGATAGTCCAAAATTTAGAAAAGCGCCGCCTAAGGCTACTGAAGGAGCAGGGCCAGATGCATCCGAGGCCGAGGCACCAACATCCGAGGGAGCACCACCCGAGGGAGAGGCCTCAGCGACAAAAGACAGTTCAGAGAAGTCCCAAACAGAATCTGGGACAGAACCGGGATCCGGAGGAGATGCTGATTCCTTGCAGATGACTTGCGAAGTAAAGTACGTGTGGAATGCTCCCTGCATGATGGTTATTTTCGATGAAGGAGATCTGAACAGCGCCCTCTACTATCTGATGGAATCTTTGCAAGACCCGTTCGCCCTGGACGCAGTGGCGGTTCTATTGGTTCAAGAGAGTCTCCTGGAGGAGCTCACTGGGCGTGTGGTTTCATTGATGCGACCACTGGACTTCCGAGTAGCCAACCATCCCTGCTACAAGCGCACCCTGCTCAAGATCGCCGAGCTGAAACCAAAAGTAATCGTGGGATCTCCGGCATTTGTTCTTCCCGATGCCACGCCCATGCTGGTCAGGGATATTCCCCACAAGTACCTGGGGGAGGGACCCACCGGCATTATAACCATGCACGTCTTCCGGACGCCCTTGGAGGCCACGAAAGTGTATCGCAAGGAGAGCCCTTCGCTGCCCATCGCTTCTGTGAGCATTTGGAACGAACGGGTCTCGTGCGTGTACGATGTCCTGGCCCTGATGAACGTCGACACCTTCAAGATCAACTGCTTCAACGTTAGTATGGAGCCAGTGAAGAAGAACTTTGAGATGCGACGATATACTGCCCAGATGCATCATGGTTACCACTACGAGACTTGCCTGGTGAATGGCCAGCGAAAAATTATCATCTTTCCATGCGGCACTATTTATGCAAATTGATTGTAGAGATCCATAATAAAGAACCACTTGATCTATTAGAAAGCCCTACACTCTTTACCTTTTCTAGCCAGTTCTTCAGCTATCTGAATCGCAAATTCCGACTGTTAGGGGGGGAGCTTTCAACAACTACATATTTACAAACCGAATACCATTTGAAAACGTTTCAGCTCGCACTTTTCGTTCGCTAATCTAAATTAATGCCTCTCACTGTGAATCGGAATAGGCTGCGCTGCGATGTTCTATCATTCAATTAAAAAAAAGGCAGGAGAACGGGCACATGCATTGGAAATGCGCGAAATAAACCGGGGAATTTTCGCACATTTCGCTCCTTTGCAAAAATAGGCAGGGCGAAATCGGATAATGGGAATGGGAATGGGATATGGGAATGGTATATGGAACGCATGGGCAAAGCAATTTGCACCACCCAGTCCCGGACGGAATAATGAAGTGTTTAGTTGATTATCTAAACGCACGGCTCTGTATCCGGAGTTGGATCCGGCACCACACCCATTCAGGCCTGGAATTGCTTGGGTTAGTTTTTCGGTTGAGTCTATAATGCGCCAAATAAACAGCTAACAAGTTGGTAATAAAAGAACTCTAAAACTGCCTGAGGTCCGACCGCCCACACTCCATTTCTACATGCCGACCCAAACGCACCTGCAGAAAATGGTTGGCTGGTTCGCTGGTTGTTTGGCAACATTGCTAGATACGAGTATGTAACTTGGCCTGAAAGTTGCGAACAAAAGCGAACAGCTCAATCCGTTCAACTGCCGAGGGGGCGTGGCACGCATTGTCTGCAGGTAAGCCTTTTTGCGGTGTAGCTCCACTTTTTGGCCAGGAGTTGGCCTGGCCGGGTCTGGCCTGGCAATGGAACAACAACGCACCGCAATTGCATTGATAACCAAAAATGTTTGGACTTGAAACGAGTTTCGTTGTGTTTCGTTTGGCCTGCTTTCGTGTACAGAGACCATATTTCACCACTAAATCAAACAGACAACAGGCTTCAAGCCACCTAGTTGTTTTGAATGTGAACAATAGTGGTTGCAATGGTGGTGCACTCTTTAGAATTCTATAATTATCCTGATGATATTCTATAGACTTAGTCAGGTTCTTCATATTTCATATTTTATAGAAGCTTATTGAAGTATCTTAGCGTCTATGTCATAAATATATTGTTAAGCTTTCAAAACTAAAATTTTAATTAAATAAAACTACTAAAACCACCTCGATTGTAGAAAGGCTGAAGGAGGCGTATGCGTAAAGGCTTCGAGTTTGGCTCGCCACGATGTTTACGGGATGTCTTAATTAAATTTGATTAGCTGTGTGCGCAAATTAGTTAGTTTTGACTGGGAATTGATGAGCGTGATGAGTTTGCCGACTAATTGGCTAATTGATTGATTGTTGGAGTTGCAAATGCACTGCCTCCTACCAAGTGCCCGCCGCTTCTCAGAATGTTTGCCTAATTGCGCTTCAAATGGCCGCCAGAAGTTGGTATTCATTGTGTGCATTTTCCTAATGAAAATCGAATGAAAGGGGATTGCATTTGGCAGTCTATCAAAATCATATTTGCAAAATCGTTGTACTCCTTGCCTTTGGTTGTTGATTTGGTTTTTGTGCTTTTTTTTTCAATTATTTTCAGTAACGCAGATTCAGATTCTTGGGGCAGGGCCTGCATAATACATATCGAAATAACCTTGGTCCGAAATTCACCAAAAGAATAACTGCGCATTGTTTGCGAAGAACAACTTTGCTTTCTCCTTAGTTCTTGGTTGTCAGAGTTTCCCGGGGGATGGGATTCCAGGGCACGCGATTGCAGGAGGGGATTTCCCCCAAACAAAAGTGCTAAAGTTTCCACTGCGCTCATGAAATTTCCACTTTAGTTGGGTTGTGTAGTAAATTTTTGTTTCTGCTTTTTGTTGGTTGTTTTTTTCCCTGTACTCCACTCGCAGGAGAACCCACCCACTCCGATCCCATATTCTCGAGATTTCCCTGACTTTCCACGTCCCGCTCCCTCACGGCGCGTGCTTATTTCAAGTAGTTGAAATTATTTTATAGTATGAAAGTTTAGTTTTTTAACTTTGGCCGGTGCAAGGCGAGCTCCGGTTCTCCGGCTTGCTTTATTTTTTATTTTGTTTTGTTTTCCTGGGCGAGAGCCCTTCGTCCATTTGGCGTCCGCACGCGCTTTTTGTTTTAGCATATTTATATTTTAATAAGCGTTCTGGCAGCTGCGCTCCAGCGCCTCCTTTTCTTCCTTCGATGCCCTGCGTAATTTTACTGCAATTTCTGACAGTTTTAGAAATCTTCGCGAGCAGAACTTATGAACCCAAATGCGCCTGTCAGTGCCAAATGGCCTGGCAGGCGGGCAACGTGGCGTATGATTGTTATTAATTTCATATTATGTCTAAGCACCAAGGACTTGATGCTTCTGATGCTGCGCTTGCTGCTGCTGTGCTATCCTTTGTTGCCTGCCTTCCGACTTGCAATAAGCAATAAGCGTTATAAGGAATGATATTTAATGTCAGTTCCGGCCAAACGAAGGCTGAAAAGAAAAGGAAGAGGACTGGCCTCCTACGGCGAGGTGCAGTTCAAGTGGCTCCTTGAAGCAGGAAAATGTTGAGATTGCCAGAAGTGTCTGAGCATCCCATTTGAATAAAGTGCGGTTAATCCAGAGGTTGCTGATGGGTTGGTGTCAAATTAATAATTGCACTGCAGGAAATTTTAACTTAGAATCTTTAATTAAATCTATATTTTTCTACCATTTAAAGTTTTCCCAGTGCATCTCTTGATTAAATTAAAATTCAATTAATGTGGCTGCTTAGTAGTTTGGGGGCGTGGTGACGGTTTAATAGGAAAATCCAACACAGACATGAATCAAAGCCTTATTGTTGTCGTTCTCGCCACAATTGTTAACCATTTTCACTTCAATACAATGTGCCACGGCTCTCATTATTGAGGATGCGTGGGTCTGGGTGTCAGTGTGTGTTGTGCAAAGAGTTTGTTTATGACATTGTGCGAATGTGGGTGTGTGTCTGGTATTGTGTTTGTAACAAAATATAATCATAAACGTAATTTAATCGCGCCAAACCGCGTCTGTCACGTACTTGCCGGCAACATATACAAAGAGACCCACACTAGCAGCGTTGACAACAAAAACTGTTATAATAATTCAATTCAATCTAGCCAGCCATTCCACCATAATATCGATTCAATGTGCTACATACGTTGCGAATCGTTTGCGACTTTGCCAAATCTAATGATCACCTGATTCCCCACCGCCCTATAGGGGGTTTGTGCTGAGCGAATTGATTTCGCTATCCGGGCACGTCAGGGTGTGTGTGGGTCTATTTGTGAGCTCATGAAACTATTTTCTATTGAATTAAATTGTTATCATTACAAATGGCAGGCCAAATGAGATTTGTATTTCGAAATGTTCAAATTAGCAGGGTTTGGCCCACAATATTGCTCAAACAAAGTGATTAGCAAGGCTCATGGCTTATTTTGTAACATTGTAGTTGTCTTTCAATTTGTTTAATTGAAGTTATTCTGATGTTCGAATAACAATCAAGAAAGTATATTTTTCGGCTTTTTGAAAGATAATTGGCAACAATTTTATTATTTTGAATTTAATTATTCCTATCTTAACAAAGACTAAATAATTGCTTTTAGCTTTATGGTTGAATTATTTGAACTTAATATGCCAGAAATAAGTTCTCTGCCTAAACTCGCATTCAGGCTTCATTAACTCAAAGAGTCAGCGGAGATTTCGTCAGATGACGAAATGCCAGATGCCAGCCAAGGTGGCTGCGGAACCACATCAGAAGCAGAAGCTGGAGCAGGAACAGGAGCCAGTGAATCAGTCACGTGTGTGCGGAAAATCAAAACGATTTGCGGATGCTGTCATTTCGCAGTGGCCCTGCTTGTGTCTAAGTCTTTTGTTTGCCATTTGGCGGAGCGCTCTTCACGGAGCGAGCGTGAATGCGCGTAAATTACGGCTGACAGAGACGGCTTCCTCTGATGCGGAGGCAGAGGCGGATGCGGATAAGAGGGAGGCTAGGGTTGGCAAGGGGCCGCCTTTGCCTGATTGATGCGCTCGCCTGCAACTTTCGCCACTTAGCCGTAAGCCGCGCATCCGCGTATCCCTGGCTCCAGAAATCGGAGCCATTCCATTGCACGCATGACAGCTGCCATGTGTGCTGGCATCCTCACAGAGCCTCGTATCCTAGCATCCTCACAGCCCGGCTAACCACAGTAGTGCTGGGTAAACGCTTCCACACGCTTTGTCCTTGTCACCTTTTTAGTTTTCGGTGTGTTGACAGGCAAGCACTCAGTTGACATCGCAGCACTGGCATCTTTTCCCTGGTAATAGTTGTACACTCTAAAAAATGTTGATATTAATCGAATTTGTACGAAATTATAGCAGGACCCTGGATTTAAACATAATCGTTTTTCATTCTAGATGACGCTTTCCTTGACCATCTAGTTTTAGGCTTTTATACATTTCTTAAAAATGGGCCTTTGTTTTTTCCACGGTGCAGCAAAAGCTATCCTATCCCGGCGAGTGCATTTATCGCGATCTGGAATGCCTTTTGAATAACTTGCCATATTAGCGTGTTTCCGTTTCCTTTCAGCTCGGCTTAGGACGCGGGCCAGCAGGGAGAGAGACAGGGAGCTTAGTTGTGTCTGAGCGTCCTTGTGTGCGTATTTGTCAAAAGGATTTGGCAGTGATTTAGCAGCTGGCCCAAATTTCATACCGGATTCGGTCTCTCTTCCTTTCACACTCTGGGCCAGCCGACCGGCTGACTGACTGACAGGCAGCAGGGTCCTCTCCCTGCCGGAGAAGAGACAGGATTAGGTCGCGCCCAGCCCTTTTAGCCGCTGCAAATTAGCTGCCTAATTGTTTGCCAAAGCCGCAACTTTGGCCATTTCTTCTCCTGGTCCGCATCCTAGAGTCCTGGCGAATTGCGTTTCCCATTTGCCGAATGACAGCTGAATAATGTGCGCCCCATAAGCAATTAACGCGCCTGCGGGGCTTACACACGTACGTCTCCGGAGTTTTGGGCATCGGAGTGAGTGTGAGTGTGTGTATATGTTCTGAGCTTACAAATTGAGTCAATAATTTTGCTGGGCCCTTGACTGGTCCTCCTCATCCTCATCCTGCTGCGGCTCGTCCTTGCTGCGACTCTGCCAGCTCCTTTCCTGATGGCACTTTGTGCATAATAAATAAACGCCATGAAATACGCGACTTAACACGCAATGTACAGCAAAGTCGCATGTCTCCATCTCCCACCAGGACCGGAGATTGTAGTTGGGTGTGAGTGTGCGCGTGTGTGGGTAAACACCATATGACACCACCTTGACTCATTAATTACGCACTGGCATTTTTATTTTCATTGCATACTCTTATGCAATTTATTATTACAGCATTGCGGGCCAGCAGTGCTGGTAGAAAGGCAAAAAATAAAACACTCGCTGAAGTACAAATTGCCTTTTTTTTAACACACATGGATACACATACATGCACAGCCATGAGCAGTTGTGGCGGCAGGACACACCGCAAATGAAATGTGTGCTGGATTTTTGAGCTGCCTTCCATCTTGGCTGGGCCATGAGCTCCCGATTGGCAATGTCCTGCAGACGTATGTCTAAAAATATTTATGGGATGTGCATTTCAATTGCTTTAAGTGGAAATATCATCAAGACCAGTAAGTTTTGGAGAAAAAGAAAACATACCATTAGCGTTAAAATCAAACTAGAATCCTTTGGTATCATAAAAGTCCATGAGATTCGATGATTTATCAGTTCCACGTATTAAATTCACTTATTAATTATGCACAAGTGTACTCAAACATAATTACTTTTTCCTCAATTTCAAAGGTAAATGCTGTAAACTCACATACTCTTTGATAAAGGGGAAGCTAAACTGAATTTTCTCGAATGAGAGGAACTTTAATCTTAATGCCGGATCGCAGAGCACTTCAGCTTCGCTTATGCTGGCTGGCCACCCCTCGGATAGGGAATAAATATTCACTTTTTACTCCCTACTTGTTGTTGTGGTTGCATTATTATTGTCGTAATTGTTGTAGTTCGTGTTGTTGTTCTGGTCATGGTGGTGGTGGCTGTGGTGGCGGTGTTGGAGCTGCTTTTGTGGTTGGCTGGTCGAAAATTCCCCAAAGAATCTGACGCACTTATCGCAAATTACTTTCGCAGTCGCAGTTGCAGTTGCAGAGCAGCAACGTTGCTTTTGTGTATAAATTTAACAATTTACTCATACACGTGCAGGCATGTGTACATTGCAAGCATAGGGGATTGTAAATTACCATCCCAACTTACACACACACTTTCAGACTAAATGCATCCAAAGAACGTGCGTTGTCCAGGGCCAGGACAGGATTTGTAAAACTTTTGGCCAACTGGCAAACATGGCGTATGCGTAATATTTCTCCCTGCCGCAATATGCATGTCCATGTTACCGGACAAACTTCATTAACAAGCCAAGCCTTCCAACTTGCCGCAATAACAATGCAAATGTAACAGCTCGAGATGTTGCCAGTGCTGCAGCTGCCACTGCCACTGCCACTACCAGTGTCATTGCAACTTTTGCATTGCATTTTCCCAATTAGCCGCACAACTCATTAAGCTTTCCCGACGACTTTCCGCCTTTTTCCAGCTTTCTTTCTGGCACTCGTCAATTAGCATTTGTTTCGGGCGTTTAATAGCCATCCAGATGCTGCCGCGTCCACCGCACTTGCTGTTGTAACTGCAATAATTTATTGTTGCCGTTGCCGGCTTCATAAGATGTTAACGCGCACTTAATGCCACTTAAAAATACGCATAAATCGCAGGAGGACGGCTTCAGGAAGGGTTGGTAAGAAACGCAGGACCACGACCAGGACCGACTGTCTGTCTGTCCACTTACATGGCTACTTACAACAATGCTCAAGCATATGTATGGAGATGACCATGTTTCAACCTCTACCACCCAACGGCCTCCCGCCCGACATCAGTAGCAGCTGCACAAAAACAAGGTCGAACAGGGGACAGCAGAAAATATACAAGAACCCAACAAAAAAAAAATTAAAAAATGAACAAAAAACCATAAAGCAAGAAGGCTTAAACAGTCGAAGTGTTTATACACTTTTTCCAGTATTTTTTTTGTATTTAATAAATAAACTTTCCGTTCCAGGAGTCATAAAATCTACTTGAACTATAACTAACTATAACTAACTATAACTAACTATAACTAACTATAACTATAACTATAACTATAACTATAACTATAACTATAACTATAACTATAACTTCTTATATATATTTAAAATTTTTTTTAAAATAGTTGTGCCCCATAAGCTGATAAACAAAAACAGAAAAAGAAAAGCACAGCAACGGCAACGGCAACAGAAACAGCAACTGCAACTGCGGCACGCAATTAAGTGCATTTAATTAATTATTGTTGATAAAATAATATTTTTGCAATTTATTGTACAAGCGGTAGTTGCGGGTGGGCCGGTTGCCACCACCCGTTATTTATGCATATGTGAGCGCAAATAAATAACCGACGTTGCCGTCCAAAAAAATAAAAATAAAAGCGGAAAAATGGCCGCTGCATTCGTTGACGTTATCAGAAAGCTGGCTGTAACCCAGCGATATCGCCCCTGTGGCAGCAGCATGGGCTATCGCAGTTGCAACATCGCAATGCCATCGCAACGCGGCTATGGCAGATCGATTCGAATAACAATAATTTCTTCCGGTCGAATGGCAGCGCCAGAACAATCAGACAGCGCCAGAGATGCAGATATGCTGCCTCCAATGCATCTGATTGCCGTTGTTGTTGGTGGGCTGCTGCAGCAGTTTGCTGCCGCATTTAAAACCGGATGCGCATAAGTATACGAGGATTGACAGGATGTGCGGGCCATGCACACGCATTTTGTTTGTTGCCACCGTCACCGCCACCACGGTTCCTGTCCATGCCACGTCCCCCTGGGACGCCGTAGGCGCTGCATTTTAAATCAAAAGGGGCGTACACGTGTTTCACGTACGGGTCACGCCCCACACTAATTTGTATTGTTTTCGCTGTTAATGAATTTCATATATTGTATTTATATGAAAGCTCTTAATGCGCAAATTATTCGCGTCGACACTGCTGCCGCCGAAGTGGAATTTTAATTGAATGCCCCGACTTTCCCCCATTTCCCTTAACCCATCTTTTTAAAACGCATCACATTTTGACAGTCACCTTTCAGACCTTTTAATCCATAGAATTTTGAAAAAATACGAAACTTGTAAAGTCATAATTTCGGACTGGCCATAACTTTGGATCGGAACTTCCAATGACGCTCATGGATGACAGGTTCATGTTCCACACATTCCAGGTACTGTGCGGCTTAGCAGGGTCCGCAAGGACCAAAACCGCAAGTTGGCGGTCCGCAAGGTCCGCCGGGTCCACAGGGACCGCAAGGACCACAAGGCCCACAAGGTCCGCAGGGGCCACAGGGTCCGCAAGGTCCGCAGGGTCCACAGGGTCCGCAAGGAGGGCAGGGACCGCAGGGCCCGAAAGGTCCGCAGGGTCCACAGGGACCACAAGGACCACAGGGTCCGCAAGGTCCACAGCCGGGCCCGCAAGGTCCGCAAGGCCCACAGCGCCCTTCGGCAACAGGGTACTGGCATGTAGAGAAGCAGGGTAGCGGGCAGCAGGGTCCTCCTGGAGCGCAGGGTCCAATGGGGCACGGCGGGCAGGCGGCGCTGGGTTTGTAGTTGATGGGTCCATTAGGATAGCAGCAGTACTCCCTTGGCGGCGGAATGTCGATGGTCTGGGGCTTCGGTTGGCACAGGATCGACTGGCACACCTCCCTCGGCTCGCAGACGCGCTTCGGGTAGCACACCACGTAAGGATCGGGAATCATGGACGGGTAGTAGATAACCCTGGGTTCCCGCACCATCTGTGAGACCCAAATCAGCTTAGGCACCTTGATAACCCTGGTGGCATCCACGACCTTGGGGATGGTGATCTGCCTGCATCGATTCACCACCATCGGTTCGGGAACGATCTTCTCCGTGAAGACGACCCGCTTCTTGCAGATCATGCGCGGCGGCTGTTGGACCGTGATGCATTTCGGGAACGGTGGGGGTATGCGCGGGGCGCACTGCGGCAGGGCCTCCAACTGGGCGGCATTGTAGCACTTGGGCGAGCACTCGAAGGGGCCGCAGCACGGATCGCATGGGCTACAGGGACCGCACGGGGAACACATTATTCGATAGGACGGTTATCCAAAATTATGTCTAAAAAGAAACAAATTTTTTTTATTTTGATTTTTTTTTGGCACGAAAATTTTCAGAGAAAATTTAGAAGTGATTCGAAGCGAAACTGGTTTTGGAATGAGAGCTGGAAGGGTCGAGCATTATAAGGACAACAAAATAGAAAGGCAAGGCCTACTTGGTTTCCAAAATTTTTAAAATATGGATATTTTTTGAACATATTTCCCACAGCCTACTTGGTTACCCCCAGCATACTTTGTTACTCCCAGCATACTTGGTTACCCCCAGCCTTCTTGGTGTTGTCGAGAAAAAATAATTCAAGTGACATTCGCTTAAATTCCGTTTATTTACAGCCAATGAGTCGTCAATGCGTTGACAATAAAGCAAAGTATACTATAGACTTTGGAGAAATTTTTAAAGCAAGACTTTGGAATATCAATCTTCTTGAATAGACACGGTCCACGGTCCACAGGGCACGGCGTTGACAACGGGAAATCCTGGCGGCGTCCACATCCAAAGGGCTGACAGTATAGTGATAACGTTGAAATCAATCCATATTTTAACATGGTCCGCAGGGACCACAGGGGACTTGTGGGCCGCAGGGTCCAACGGGCCCGCAGTGGGTGTTCCAGGGTGTGGGGGCGCATGGGTAGCAGGGGCCACACTCGGGCGATTCGTAGGGACAAGGTGGTGAACAAGGTCCGCAGGGCCCGCATGGTCCGCATGGGCTATTGCTGAGCGGTCCGCACGGACCACAAGGAGCGCAGGGCCCACACGGTGCCGGTACATAAGGACCCGATGGCATCGTGAGACCGCAAGGCCCACAATTTGGGACCGCGCATGGTCCACACGGTCCGCAGGGTCCACACCGGGGTCCGCATGGTCCGCAAGGGCCACACCGGGGTCCACATGGTCCGCAAGGGCCACAGGGTCCGCAGCCGGGTCCGCAGGGGCCGCATGGTCCGCAACGGCCCTCAGCGACCGGGTACTGATTGGTGGAAAAGCAGGGCAGGGGGCAGCAGGGTCCCCCCGGAGCACACGGACCAATTGGGCACGGCGGACAGGCGGCACTGGGCTTGTAGTTGATGGGTCCATTGGGATAGCAGCAGTACTCCCTTGGCGGCGGGATGTCGATGGTCTGGGGCTTCGGTTGGCACAGGATCGACTGGCACACCTCCCTCGGCTCGCAGACGCGCTTCGGGTAGCACACCACGTAAGGATCGGGAATCATGGACGGGTAGTAGATAACCCTAGGTTCCCGCACCATCTGTGAGACCCAAATCAGCTTAGGCACCTTGATAACCCTGGTGGCGTCCACGACCTTGGGGATGGTGATCTGCCTGCATCGATTCACCACCATCGGCTCAGGAACGATCTTCTCCGTGAAGACGACCCGCTTCTTGCAGATCATGCGCGGTGGCTGTTGGACCGTGATGCATTTTGGGAAGGGTGGAGGTATGCGCGGGGCGCACTGCGGCAGGGCCTCCAATTGGGCGGCATTGTAGCACTTGGGCGAGCACTCAAAGGGGCCACAGCAAGGATCGCATGGGCTGCAGGGACCGCACGGGGAACACATTTTTTAGTCTCAAATTTACCGAAAATAAAATTTTAGGAAATAAAAAAGAGTCCAACTTTTTTTTAGACAAATTTTTGCGGTACAATTTGGAAGTTATCCGGAGCGAAAGTATAAACTGAATGAGATTGATGGCACGACGACAGCATTGTGAAAGGTCTCACAGCCCTCTACGATTGGGTTTTTTGAAAATAAGCTACTTGATTTGGTTTTAAAATCAAGTTTGTGAAAATCTTTATTAAGCGAATTAAGAGCTTCATAAAATTTTTATTATTGCGAAATTATGATCTAAGTACGTAACACAAATCCTTTAAAAGGTTTCTTCTAATTGATGTAAAATCTATCCATAAAAAACATGTATTACAGCATTATTCAGCGGTTGTGTTTCCAAAGTGGTTATCCTTTTTTTGTGAACCGAAATCGGTCTCCACATGACGTATGCGAGACGTATCTGCATATATTTCAGCAATATGGCATCTGCCGTTGAGTGGGTTTAAGCCTTTAATATGCTAGCGCCTTTATGGAGGCAGGGCGTTTTTTCAGCAGCGGAAAGCCAACTTGGAAAAAACTACAACGAATTACAGAAAAACGTCGGAAAACACTCTGGCAGCTCCGGCCTATTGAATATCCTCGTACCTACACCAACATACATATATAGAATGCTACTATTTTTTGTTTATTTAGCTGTGCGGCAGGACATGTCAGCGCCAAAAAAGCATTTCGTTGGCCATGGGACCTGAAAGCTTTAGTTCTTTTGGTGGGTATGGCGGTGCAATCAGCGCTTTGTGCATGCCACAACCATGGTGACATCGAACAATTGCGCATTCACAAAAAACTACAACAAAGACCGTGCTCACAGCGGCGCATCAATGTTGACAAAGGCTTTGGCCCGGGACTCACGTGAATTCTAAAATGTTTTAATCATTTTAAATATGAAAGAGTACTTTTTTACTGCGGCAGTAAATTATTTTTGCAAAATAATAAATAAATATATCATCGTTGAACCAGATCTTTATGGTTCCATATAAACTACAATCGAAACTAACTTCAGATATTAAAGAATCTACAAAAGCTTTACAGTCCATTTTTGACAGTAGCATTGATTCAATTGATCTGGTTTCGGCCGTGTTCCGGAAATTTGGCTAGTTTCTTGGCCTGTAATAACAAGCCATTGGCTTAGGACCGTAATTATGCAAGAAAAACATAAACTTCTGGGGCGTCGAGTGGGCCGTGACGCTTATCAAGGGACAAGCTGTCGGTCCAAGCTGCAAGTTCTAGCCGCAGACAAAGCTCGTGCTAATCCCACAGTTTTCAAGGCCCACAGAGCCTGTCTAATCACAGCCTCGCCACTTGGCAACACAGTGCCTCCGAAATTGTCAGCTAATAATGCAAACAATAACAGGCAACAGTCCGAAGAAATGGGGAACATTTCACATAATTGTGGGCGCGTCCGTTCGGTTGAATATTCCCGGCTAAGGCGTCGCAATTAGCGGACTTAGTTTGGGGCTCCGAAACTCTGCAGTGGGTGGGTTGAATAATCTTGGGGGCAGAATAGGGACGAGCCGGTCATAAATTGCTGGGAAAACTGCCTGCTTCGAGCCAGATAGAGGCGGCAAGTGTCAGTTGTCAAGTACATGCTTTTTTTCAGATGGTTCTCCTTGAACTCAATGCTTTTTCTTTCCGCTCCGATAAATGCCTCAAGGCGGGTGGACATCTTTAATGAATTTAATCGCGTGAAATAAACATTCCAGGGGCAGCCCCTCGAAAATCAGGCACATCTGGCAGTGGCGACTGTGGGCTGGTCCATGGTCGCTTATGTTGTTTGCTTGCACTCTTTGCGGTCGCCTGACGTTGATAAGTATTCTGATTTATTGACAAACAAACTGTGAGCGAGTTCGTGCAAGTGTGTGTCCGAGGCTTTTGTGGTGGCATTTATTTAAATTTATATATTTATTTAACGGCACTGCACAAACAAAAACAGTCTCAGATGGACAGATGGATTGTCGTTGCATCGGAGTCGTGCTTAAAGCACGCTTTTCGGCTTCTGTTTTTTATGCATTTGCTACGCTGCATTTCCGTTTGATTTCAATAATTTCAACTTCCGGCACAAACCGGAAATGACAAATAAAATGCACTGCCATTGAAATGCACTGGGAAAAAATCAATAAAGAAATGAGGTATTTTATAGTCTATATAATCACCCAAAATACATTCGGAGAACACATGAAAAAGTTTTTAAAAATAACTATTCAGGTATGGGGATTGATTTTTCATAAAAACCCTCTTATTAAAACCTTATAAAAAAAACACTTTTTCATTTCTAGCCAAGCTTATTTAATTTAATTGCATCATCTCTGGCTGAAACGGTTGGGAAAATCGCATAAATTACGTGATTTTTGGTGAGGCTTCTTTTGGCCAAATCCGTGCATAAAAGTTTTTTTTACCCGCCAGGCAGTACATTTTCAGCACTGAGAGGCGTACATGCATGCATATGTGGAATAACCATGAATTACATAAAAAGCCGCAAATACCGAAGTCAAAATGCGTGGCCTGAACGATTTTGTTGGTCTTATTGTTGTTTCGTTTCTGTATTGTAAAGCATGCCGATGCGTATGTGATAGTGTGAGTGTAAGTGTGTGTGTGTGGAAACCATTTTCCCAGGCAGTCCCTTGCAACATGCAAACGATTCAGTCAACGGCAAAAAATTCAAATATATATTGCAATCCTTTAGGCACGCGGAACATAATGAAACGAAAATGCTACTGTGGCAACAGCAACAGTGCAGCAGCAGCAGCAGTTGCAAGGACATTCACTAGCAGGGACCGAGGACTGAGGACCAAGGACCAGCCGAAGCCGAAGCCGTCCGCTTTCCATTTGCCGAATAAGAAAAAAATAAATAAAAATGTGAAAATATTTCTTTGGCCAACATTTTTACAGCTGCCCCTCCTCCGTTCGGCATCCTCTCACTTTTTCTTTCCATTGCGCTGACCCGCCCAGTTCACCAACCAATTCGCAGAAATTTTTTATACAAAAAAATGTTTTTATTTATACTACTGGGGCGGCCGATCCCGGCCTGGGCCCAGACCTGGTCCTGGGCTTTGCATCCCACCAAAATCCTTGCAACTGGGCCTGGCCTGTGGCCGCCGGTTGATTTATATTGATGAATGCCCGTTTGTTCGTTAGTTCCGTCTTCGCAGGCTGCCAAAGAGATTTACTTGTTCGGGGGCTTCGGGCTGGGGGCGTGGCAGTCATTTTACTCTTTGCCTTTTGTTGTGCTGCACTTGCGTATACAAAAATATATATGTATAAGTCCAACAAACACACACAAGCACAATCTACCAGCAAGTCCCTGCGTGCACTTGCTTATGCTCAGTGCCAGAAATTATTGCATACTTTACGGAAATTAACCGCATTTCCATTTCTTGCACGCACACAGGATGGCCGCGTCATCTCCTCCTCGCTTTCGTCCTGCTCCGGCTTCTGTGCCTCCTGTTCCCTCTTGAATACATATTATATTTACAATTTTAATGACTTTATTTTTGTGCTGGCATAAAATGTGA